TATTGCGGGCTTTTGGCTGCTTTCAGGACAGGGACCCGTTGGGATAACAGACCCCGCTGCGCCATCTCAAAGCAACTACCCCTCTGCCGCGGCGCCATCCACCGGAAACGGACCCAACCTCACGAGCACTAATACTCTGAGTCGGCCACTCGCGGTCTACAGATTCGTGTTCTTCATAAGCTAAGCCTGACCCGTAGCTTCTAATCCAGCCTGGTCAAACAACAGCGGCGGCGCATCCCTTTCCCGCTATTTTAAAACTGGGTCCGGTCTCTCCCATGCCTTTGATATAACAGAACTTGCGGCGGCTGGCTGTGCCTACAGTCTGACCGCGCGGAGCAATAGCTGGCGTCTGTTACTCACCGCATCGGCCCCCTCCGGGTAACTAGGTGCTCCGCCATTCTGGTGTCCTCCTTCGTCCCGCTGTTGGAGGATGTCCTCCAAGCCTTCTTGGCCTCCGCCGCGCGATTGCTCGCGCTCTGCCATCACTTCGCTGTTACTGGCGACCGATATGCCAGCAACGTCAAATCGCCTTATCTACTTTACTATTGAGCTGGGTCCCGAATACAAAGTAAGTCACTATTTAAACAATTCAAAATCCCCAACAGACGACGTTCTGACTTGCGCTTGCTTGCACGGTTGACTGGCGAACTAGCGTTGTCTGGATTCAGCGCTTTGTTCCCAGCTAATCTTTGTAACGCACTACCGTATCAGTCACTGTCCTCTGGCCAATTCCGGTCTGCTCCTCCCGCGCCGCACTTGCCGTACTACACTACAGGACGAGCACTTAATCAACATGCAGTAACACAATGTACTGGCATCTACTGACCGTACTGCGCTTACATGTTGCGGTTGTGCTACTGCTGATGAATGCAGGGCAATCGATAATAAACTATTGTCTGATGCGTCAAAGGCCATTAGACCCACGAAGCGCACGTATTCATGCAGCAGTGGCCCTTCACGGTTGTGATGAGGGAAAATGAAAGGGCAGCTCTATCGGCTGCTGTTCATTACCGGTCATCCTTTATATTGCATATATAGACAATCACAAGCAATCAGCAGGAGTTTTGCTTTGTTTCTATCATGATTATGATAAGTAGGCCATCGCAGAAAGCAGCCAGCGGCTGCGGCTTCTCATGGACCCAGTCTCACTGTTCTATCTTGCCTAGCTAGGCCGTTATAAGGCAAGATATATACAAGTTATATTATAGTATATATACTTATGGATGTATGTGCTGCTACGAAGGCGTTCCGTGCTTCTATATCAGAAATGACAAAAACCTAGCTACCTAGCTAGCTATCGGGGCTATGTATAGTACCCCGGGCATATTACGGGATCTGCATCCGCCGATTGGTACTTTCCTGAAGTATATGTATATCTACGATGCTAGGTCGCTAAGGCACGTATACATGTATGTGTTCGGACACAACAGATGAGTTAAGGCACGGCGTTGTGTCCCCGGAAGTTCCAGAATCGATCCCGTAATTGATCGGAGATGATGTTAAGCCCCTCGACCGTTAAAGCGTGGATATGACCCCCCGTCGGTGGACTGCCGGCGATGACCCGGATGATGGTGACCTGCGAACCGACCTCAAGCGAGTTGATACCCGATTTACGTGGACACATCAACGATCTGCGTGCGTGCATGCGGGCGGGCGTGCAGGGCTCGGCAATCGAGGCCACCGGGGGGGGGTAGGTTGGACATCTGATATTGACAGTGGATGCTTGTGTCGGCGGGCATGAGCTCACGCACGGCATGTAAAGTTTTGTATTTGTATTGAACTGCACGGCAATCGATGTACACGCTTGCTTGCGCACAATCACATCGATAGTTGGCCGCACTGTAATAATAATCAGAGAAATAAGAGGCCAATGTGCACGACCGATGTGCACATGCTTATTAGCAACGGGGAGTGTGGTGCAACCCAGCCAACTCGCCGCTGCAAATATCTCCTGTGTAATCCATGCTTATCCTTCTTGCTCCCTTGCTCCATTAATGGAATATTCGCGGTCGCGTGCTGTTGCCACTAAATCATTTACGGTTTTGGTTCTGCTAATAAAATCCATCAGGAGAGGGTTATTTTGTGACGGATTATAACTGGATGGGGCTAAATGGACACCAGCGCTGGCGGTGCTCTGTAATATATATGTGTGCTGGTGGCTGCATGCCACCCAGCAGTCCTGTAATTGGGTTGTCCATACGTGTTCATTGTAATAACCTCCGCTCCAAAAGTGTCTGGGAATCAGGCCTCTGCACTTCTTACCTAGAGCACGTCATCACTCCAGTCGACCAGAGTATAAAAACTTATATCCGGCCCAGGGGTATCAATATGGCCTCCGGCCGACTGGAGTCATAATAAGGGTGGATGGACGACAAGATGGACCCGAGTGACTGGGAGGAGGCCATCCGTTGTGCCAAAAAGGCCTAGAGAGGCAGAGATACCTTTCATCGACGAAGAGTGCGCGGAGTCGAACCGCGCGGTGTTCCCGCCGGCACTTCCCGGCTGAGAAGACCGGTGCAGCGGTCAGCACGGATCGGCGCCACAACCCCACTTCCTAACACTTCCTCTTGTCCTGGGCTACCCTGCACACTGCTAGAAGTGCATCGGCCTCACGAACCGCTGCGGCAGCACCGAGCAAACGAAAGGCCAGCAGCGCAGCCAGGCGGAGACGATCCGTTATCATCAGCAAGCGATCCGTTAGCATCAACTGTCAGTGAACTACCTCCCTAGCTACCTCCTAAGACGACACAGGAATTGCTGGCTCCCGCCGCGCCATCAACCCCCGGCGTAAGAGCCAGGGGCCGTAACAGCCATCAATTAGCATACTTTGCCTGAGGCAATCCTATCTCTGTGTACTGAAAGTGGCTTTTTCGCTCCGCAATTCTAAAATGTATAATATCTTCCATTACAGTACTCGGCGACTGTACGGCTTACGGAGGGGAATACATGCAAAGATCGTAGCGTCTGATTCGCCTAACGGTCCGCCCCTACATGCGCACGCACACACTCGATACACTTGCTGTATAGCCACTTGCTTGTGACTGAAAGACGTACGCGGACGGGCGGGAAGTGCTACGCAGCGGAAAGCCCTAACTAATCCTGGCTTCCGCAGGCTTAATAGTAACAAGTTATCAACCTTCCGTTTTCGGATATGCATTTGTAAGGAAATGGCACCATCGTGATCCCCGAAGTCGGACGGACATCGGGGCTGCGGTAGTATGATGGCGACGCCTCGCTCACTCCGACACAACTGACATTACTTGCGCTATAAGCGCAGTTCTGTTTCAGTTACATATTTCTGTCATATCGCCGGAAAGGGTTACAGATATGATCCTTCCGGCAAGACCTGAGGCTTTAATGCAAAGCGTAACAATGAGCCCTGGCCTAGACAGCGTCTTCACTCCAACGCTTCACCGTAAGCCGCACACCTTTAGCGCAACTATTTTCTATGGGAGTTCGTCTGGACAGAACGTGACCCATGGACGACCACCTCGCTTACGTCACGGCGTGTGGCCCTCGGACGTCACGTTGACGGCCGCCCTCCGGCTAAGGTAAATGGACAGAATCTGTCTTGCTTCTGGGACTGACCAACCTGAACACCATGTTGCTCTTTGTTCATGTTCTCTGATGTTGTGTCGCGATGACTACCTGACAAGCACTTCAGATTCTATTACGTATAGGGGGAAATCTCATGTGTGCACTCCATCATTTCTGTAACCTCGTAGCTGCATTTTGATGCGGTTGTTACAGTTCGTTTGTACGGCATGGCTCCTCGCTCTCGCGGCCGAGCTGCTTGCGGGGCATGCACACCGGCTGTAACCGGTGTGCATATTCGTAAGACGTTATCAATGCGTTGCCGCCTCCTCGTGAGCTTCCCGGTCCTCAGCTTCCTTGTGACATGTAGCAAAGCTCGCTTTCGCCCACTTCGCGGCATTTCTCATAGCACCTCATCAGCGGCATTCGAAGCCAGTCAGGTTTAGCTTTTCCTAACGTCGTTTCCGCCGTTGTTTTCGTTGCCTTTGCTACTGCCGTAGCCATCAGGTCCGAGTACTGGCCCATGACCCGCGGGTCGCTGGCCATAAGCTTCTGGGCCCTGCAGCCCTCCGGAGATTCAATCCTGCGGCGGCAGCAGCAGCAGCTCCTGCTTCTGCAGGAGCCCAGCGCGGACCCTGCAACTCCTCCCGCCGCGGGTTGGCGCCTGGCCCCGTCAAATGCGCATCAGGCAGCAGCAGCAGCAGCAGCAGCAACGGCGACAAAAACAGTCGTAACGGCACTAGCGATTCCTATGGCGTGAATCCTAGCAGCCAAAGCGAGGGTATTTCGGCTGCGGATAGGGGCAGCGGGGACGACGGCAACAGTCCCAGCACGGCCGTCGCGTCGGCGGCGGTCGCCGCCAGCGTTGCAGCGGCTGCTGTGGTGGGCGCCGTTGCGTCGGCGGCCGCGGCACCACCGCCGCCGCCGCCACGTATCACCGCACTCGGGCTGCTGGCGCGGGTGGTCACCCTGCTGCGGTCTCACTTCCTTGCCGTACTGCTGTTGTACGCCATAAAGGACGGGGTGGCCTTCCTGCTCCACCGGGTGACCCAGCGCCTGACCAACCATGGTACGACTGTACGGCCCTGGCGATAGGTGCATGATGGTTGGATGGATGGGGAGATAGCATGCGTGTCCGTGTGGGGCCTGGGTCCATCATCACACCATTACAATTGCGATTACAATCACCATCATGGCATATCATCACGCGGCCCTGCCCTAAACCCGCCGCTCAAAAGCCATCTCCCCCCGCCCATCCCGCCCGCCCCCACCACTCCCCTCATCCCCAGCCGCCGAGGTCCTCCTGGGCGCCTCCGCCTCCGCGGCCGGCGGCAACCCCTGGTGGCTGTACCTGGAACCCGCATTCATAAGGGCTAACCCTGGTGGGCGGCGAGGGTGGTGACGGAGGAGGAGCGGGGGGCCTGAAAAGGGGCTGGGGGAACGGGTAATTCCATGCCAGAGGGGTGGGGGGCAGCGGTGGGGAAGGCGACGGGGCGGGTGTGGGTATGCTCTGGGCTTGGGGCGGGATGGGAGGGAGTCGCTGAAAAGGGGAGGAGGGAGGTCGCCCTGCCGTACCCCGCCCTGCCGTACTTCTTGGTATCCCCACCGCCTCTGACGGCGTCTCACGGCCGAAATACCCCGGGGTAACACCGCCCCCACCCGGGTGACACACGCATACCCGGGTACCCGCTGGTCTTCTTCAGGAATGCGCTCCCTCCACGCACACGGCGTCTGCGCAATTGACCTCTGCTGCTTGCATTACGTGGCTGCCTCCCTCCCTCCCTCCCTCCCTCCTGCCGCTCCATCCCCCACCCAGGTTACGAGGTGCTCATCGGCATGTTCTTCCTGGGCTGCCTGCCCTTCACAATCGCACTGAACTCACTCGCATTCACCATCGCCGCGCTCGCCTGCGCCCCGCGGGAGGGTCGGCTCGGCGGGGAAGCGGGAGCCGCGGCAGCGCCAGAATCCGCCTCGACCTCGTCTCGGACCCATGGGTCCCTATCTTCATCACCATCTTCGCCTTGGCCACTTGGGTCGACGTCGCCAGGAGCTGCAGTACGGAACGGCGGTGCGACGGGGCCAAGAGGATGTAACCTCTTTTCTTTTCTCTCAGGGGGAGGGGGTGACGTGGGGGACCTGGGGACCTGTTGCGGGCCGGCTTGAGGGCTTTAAGAACTGCTGGAGCGGTCTGTTAAACGGTGGTGGTTAGGAGTATTCAGTTACGGGTCGGTGGTTGAGTTCGCGATGTGTACAGTCGACGTGTGTTGTCTGTCTGTCTGTCTGTCTGTATGTATGTATGTATGCATGTATGTTTGCATTTATGTACCCACACTCGCAGCTGTTCTGATACCGGCACAGTAACGACATCAACCAATTAACCGACCAACTAATTTAACGTTATAACTGCTGCAGTCGGCGGGTCGCTTTACTTGTCCTCAGACGACACGGGAGCAGCGGCGCTCGCTGATCTCGGAATACATGCACTGCCGACGGCCCCGCCGCCGGCGGCATCGGCGTCGGCGTCGCGGCATGCAGCCGACGGCGCCGTCACATCCGCTCCCAATGCACGGAACTCCGACGTGGCACACTCACCGCTGCTGGACGAACCCCCAGTTACCGTGTCGGCGATCTCGGCGGCGACGTCGCTGGCGGCGGCGCCACCGCCCTCACCGCCGGCAGCGCTGTTGGACGCTGATCCCCGGTTAACCAGTGAGTAGAAAGGATGGGGCGCGGGCTTCAAGGAGGACAGGAGGCCGTGTGCGCTCTGTTTTGGGCATTGAACAATGCTCTCAGCAGTTGGATTGGACGACGCTGAGGGACTGCGGGGGGGGTTGGGCGCCTACGGAGCAAACTAGTGACCAGCAGGCGGGGGCGCCTCTTAAGCCTGAAAACCTGAATCCTTTATCTAAAAGCCCTACAATACCTACAACCCCAAAAAGCTTATTAGCAATCAAAAGTATGGAAGGTAAAGAGCTACATATGGTATTAGTATTCGAAATCTATATTAAAACGAGGAAAACGCGATAACGTTGAGAAACCTGGATAAAACGCATTTGGCAATTTACTTGCCGCAGGTACTGGTGACGAAGGTGGCGGTGGTGGTGGTGGTGGTGCTGCTGCTGCTGCTGCTGCTGCTGCTGCTGCTGCTGGTCCCTGGGGGGCTCTGCGGGCAGCCGCGGGCTCGCTGCTCGGAGTACTGCCGGAGGCGGGTCGGGCCTTTCGCCGCGTTTGGCTGGTGGACCTGCAGTTCAACATGCGGGCGCTGCCCCTGCAGGTGGGACATCACCCATCAGGTCGCGGCGGATCACTAGATCGCCACATAGCGGGTCCCGGGTCCCGCACTAGATCGGCCGTTCCAGCAGCCCCATGGCGCACAGTACAATCCAAGTCATGTAGACAGACAGACAGACATGCAGACACGCATTACCTACCTACCTACCTACTTACATACATACGTACATACGCACACACATGCATACCTACATACCTACATAGACTCATAGATACATACCTACATACATACATACGCACGCAGGGTTTGTGCCTGCTAGTGCTTCCGGCGGTGTGGGCCCTACCGCGACTCATGAGGATTCAGCTGGCGCTACCTGCTGCCGTACTGGAAGGCCAAGCAGGGCGTGACGCGCTGAACCGCTCGTCCAGTCTCATGACATCATCACTGGCAGCGTACGGCATGCCGTTCGCAGCGGTATTGGCGGCGGGACGGCTTTTGGAATACATTCAGGTGCGTCTGCGTCTGTCTGTCCGTCCGTCTGTCCGTCTGTCTCTGCCTTTCTTCTCTGCCTGCTGTCCGTAGTGTTACATGGCATGTGGTGGTGGTGTGGGTCGTTGAAGGAAAGTATTTAAAATCAGCCGCAGCGGCGTTAGTTCCCGACCTCCGTTTTCTGCGCGTGCGGCTGCATCCCCGGGCAGTCCGCATCTCCTGTCACCCTGCATGATACTCGTCTAGGTGGCCACTAGCCAATCGCGAGGCAGGAAATAGATTCTCAGCTGGCGGATACCCGCCGTACACACTCCCCAATCACTCTCTGCTCTGTGGGAGCCCCCACGGCATTGCGAGGTGGTTCTTTGCAAAAGTTGATTCCTTTCTCTTTGCATGCGATCTGCACCCACCTCCCCCGCAATCCCCCCGCGGTGGCGCAGGGTGTCGTACTGGTGCTGATACCGCCACGCTGGTGGCGTGAGGTGGTGGAGGTGCCGCTGCTCATCGCGGGGGCCTTCCTGCTCCTGAAGGCTGCCGTACACAGGTGAGATTTGAACAGCAGCAGCAGGAGGAGGGGGAGGAGGCGGAGGGGGAAAGGAGGGGGGTTGCGTGAGACGCGGTGGGAGGAGGGGTGGGCGGCGGAACGCGAGGAGGTGTTAGGGAGGGCCACATGCGGCGACAGCCGAGGGGCCCCCGCACAAGGGGTTGCGGCACCTCCCATCTGGGGTGAACTGAACATCCCCACACATCCCCCATTCAACACCTCCCCACCAACACACACACACACACACACACACACCGGGCCTGTACCCCTTGGTCACTTCTCTATGTCTTCCTCCTCGCCGCCACCTGCGAATTGTGGCGCCGTGCGCCCTCTCGCCCCTCGGGCGCCGCCGCGCACCTCTCCCGTCCTTTGCCCTGATCCACCTACCGTGTACCTCAGTACACCGCTCTGTCCCCCGCTCGCACACTCCGGCCCTGTCTGTGTCCCTCCCCCCCCTTTTGCCTGTCTCTGAGCCCAACCTACAGGCTCCAGGACCTGCTGCCCCTGGCAGCCTACCTGGAGCTGACACAGCAGGAGCAGGAAGCGGCTAGGAAGCTGCAGCAACAGCAAGTTGTACTCATGAGGCTGGACGAGCAACATGCACAGCAGCAGCAGCAGCAGCAAGACCCGCGACATGGGGCGGCCAAGCAAGCACAACAGCACGCACTGGGGGCAGCAGGCAGTGGCGCCCAGCAGCCGGGAGCACCAGGGGCCCCGGTGGCGGTGGCGGGGACCTAGGCAGCGGCGGCACCGCGCGTCGGGTTGGCCCGGCAGTGGCAACACTGGTCGCTCCCGTTTCCCCGCCGACAGCCTACCTTCCCCGGCTCGGCGCCTGGGGGGTGTGTAGGCTCTCCGTCTTTCGGAACTATTGGATGAAACCACACGGCTTGATTTTGGCCAGTAGTAGTCCCTGTCAAGTTAGTGGAGCGGAAATGCCTGTTGCGTTGGCACTTACATTGTGAGGGGCCGCGTGTTGCTGTATATGGTGCTGTTGGAAGTGGAAGTGTTCGATGCCAGCGGCTTCATTGCGAGGGGGGGAGATAGAAACCAGGGCCGCGATAATATGGTAACGGGATAGAAAGGTTGTTGGCAATTAACCCCCCAGCGGCTACTGATCCAGGATGTCGGTGATCAGGTCATATCAGGTCTCTGGCGGTGTGGTAACGGCGTGAGGCGGGGATTCCGCGCCGGCGGCCTCACGCCCTCGAGGCCTGAGGGCGAGGCTCAGGGCCTGGTTGCGCTTCCCGTCCTTCGTGGCCGCATCCCCTACTTCACTGTCCGCATCCGGATTCGCAAAATTCGCCGCATGGGGAGGGCCGCCGTGGAAGGGTCCCCGTGTACTGCTGTATGTTACTGCGGACTGGGCACCACGGGAGATTTTACAGTGGGCGGCTCCACTGTGTCCCAGCGTGTCAGCCCTCCTGCTACGTTGCCTTCGGCCGCCGCGGCTGGGGATGCGACTTCATAGGCGCGGGGAGGCGTGCTGTGTCCAATACGATCCCGGGGCATGCTGGCGCCGTACTCCTACTGTCTACCTACAGACACACCTAGCTGAGGACCGAGATGTACAGTGTGCGTAGGAGGACCGGGATAAGGGGGTTACCCCGAACTCCCGTACGCAGTGCTCCAATCACTTGTTGCTGTCCTTCCTCACGTGCGATCTGGGGGCCCCCGGGGCAGAAAGGGGATAGATTGTCACTGGTTTTCAAAGCTTACGGCAAATGTTGATGAGGAAAGGAAGGAGATTGAGCTCAAAGTTCCTACTAACCTTGTAAAAGACTGGGTACAGCAGCACTATCAGCACGGGCAAGATCCCGGGCAAAACAGTGCACGTGGGGCGACCGCCGTTACTCCCCCTTAGGGCCATCGCCTGCGGTGCAGCCATCTCACTTCGAGGATTCGCTCGTGCTCCTGTACCCACCCATGCATGCCACGTGCTGAAAGAAGCAACACAGCCGTACAAGCCACGATGTACTCCAACTCACGTGTACATTACCCTTGGCACGCAGGCCTATAAAAACGGAGGAGAGTTGCCGTACCCTTTTATTCAGCATCGAGGCAGTCGACACCTTACTAATGAGTTTACAAAGCCCCCGCGGCCTACATAAGCGCATGTTTCAGAGACGGCGGTGATCGTACGGTAGTGTCGTACTTATTTGAGTCGACTGGAGCTCTCCCCAGTATTATCCTCAGTGCTCTCCCACGCATCCCTGCACCCTAAAACAAGCGACTGTCGAGGGTTAGATGACCTCCCGCAGGTCGCTCGCTCCCCAAGAGGACACTCTGAAGGCCGCCGACCCTTCTCCGTACGTCCGTTATGTTGATAGGGACCCTATCGCGGACCAACAGCTGTAACGGAATCCGCCTCGATGCGGCTACGTGAGTCCAAGGTAACGAATGGAGAGCTGCTGTCTTCGTCGTGCGCAAATGCAGCTTCTCCCTCGGGTTTCTCCGTACAGCTTGCAGATGCAGGTGTCACGTCAAAACATCTGGAGCGCACAAATTACGTGGCACGACCGAGTTAGTCGCTATCCGCAGGTGGTTAAGCCAACCGAAGGTAGTTAGGCGAACCGCGTATTGATTTAGTTGAGACTTTGGGTGTTGCCTGAGTAGCCTATAAGGCGCTTTCCGTTGTGATTTGAGGATTTAGGTTGTCGTTCATCTGTCGTTAGTCGGATGAGCGTTACGTATCCAGGATAGGGCCTCGTGTGATAAGGCCCGGCGCGGATCAGTCGGTACTTCGCCATAAATGCGAGTGCGAAGAGGCCAAACATTTGTCGTTTGGCTCTCGAAGCAACTCTTCGTGAGCGTACAGACCATTGATTATTAAGGATATATAATCATAGGAGGGTTGATAGGCCTGTTTTATGTAAGAAGACTGTGATCCTACCCTACCTCGAGACGCGCATCAGAGCAGGATTGACAGAGAGTATATACACAGCATTCCATAAGGTCCGCCCTTAGTGCTTATACCTCTAGGCTCGACAGGGATCCGTTCCCAGCCCGTCCTCGCCTACCGCGATCGCGCTCATCAAGTTAACGAAGCTGGAGTGAGCCAGCCGAGTCAAGCCGGAGCTTTGAGGAAAGCTCCTATTGTATAATCATCCATTTACCCACAGCCAAACGAATCCCGAGTCGAAGTTGTCCTCCTCAGACCCCTGCTGTGCGTAGGCAGCTTCGGCAAGTTCCTCGTCTAGTAGGTTAAGCGAAGATGACGACTCCCTGGGCTGTTCCCAGATTCTCCGGGCCTGCTGTTGTGCAGAGGGGTCGTGTTGAACGCCTACCGACGTGATTGTACTAGTGATGCCGGCACTCAGAAGTGCGGTGGCGGGAATCAGTACCGTGAAAGAGGCAGCCCTGTATCCTCTCTAGACTAG